TCACTTTCTCTGGAGGGTTGGCAATACAATTAAGCTCATTATTTTGAGACAAGCCAATTCTCCTGGGTTATCTAGGTCAGTCCTAAATGCAATCACAGGTAGTTATAAAGGAATGGCAAAGAGTTCACACACACACACACACACACACACACACACACACACACAATCTGATGGCAGAGACAGGCACTAGAAGGATGTAGCCAGAGCCAAGGAATGCCAGGAGCTAGAAGAAGCCAGGAATGGAGCTTCCCATAGAGCCCCTGAGGGAATGCAGTCCTGACAACACTTGGCTTTCAACCCAGTGATACTGGACTTCTTGGCCTCCAGAAGAGTGAGCAAGGAACTGTGCACTGTTTTCAGCCACCAGGGATGTGTTGATAGCAGCCTCCAGATAATTCAGAGGCACTTCATCTGGCCCCATGATGTACACAGATCTCAACTATCCCCATGGACTAGCCCTGAGGGTGGTCACAAGGACAGTGCTAAAAGCCAGTGTTAGGTGAAGGATTGGGTCTGACTGGGATAAGTCCTGGCTTGGATGATTGCAACTGGAGAAAGTGTGTGGGAGGGGGCTATAATGACAGACATGTTGTGAGGACATATCTTGGCGGTCATGTGAAGGCCTGTGGTCACACTGCAGGCTCATGGGAAGTCAGAAAGAAATCACTCAATCTATTGAATCAGGAAGGTGGAAGGAGTTGGGGGTGTTGCTGGTTTTGCTTTGTTTTATTTTGTTTTTTTGTCATTTTTCAGCATTGGAGATCCAATCTGTGGCCTTCCTCTTGTGAGGCAACTACTCTGCCAGTAAGCTACCGTTCAGCCCCAGGAAGGTTTGTTTTGTTTTGTTCTGTTTTGTTCTGTTCTGTTTTACACGGGGTACTATTATGAAGCCCAAGCATGCAACACCACATCCTGCTGGAAGAACAAGACAAAGAATGCCAGGAAGGGTGTGCAGGGAGCCCACTGGACTGACACCAGGAGTCCACGAGCTGTTGGAGCCTCATGGATGACAGGCCTATACCTCCTCTTGGTCTTTTAGGTCATTCGGGGCTTTGCCTGAACTTGGTTGTAAGCCAGCATGGTGAAAAGTAGAGCCAAGTTCAGCTCCTAGATGCCCAATCTGATCACTTGGGCCACTGGAATTCTGCAGGAAAAGAACACAGAGTGCCAACGAGGATATATATGCACCGATTTGTGGAAATGCAAAATGGCACAGCAATTGTGGAAAAGAATGGTGATTGCTCAAAAATGACAAACAGGATGATCCAACAACCCCACTTCTATTTACAGCAGCCCCTGATTACCTGAAGTCTTGATCCATGATATTAAAGCAGGATCTAGAGCTACCTAGGGACAAGGACAGCATGGTGATTTCTGACAACCATGAAGAAAAGAGGAAGAGGAGGCACGGGTTTCAGCTTTGTAAGATAAAGGGTTCTAGAGACAGGTGGGGGCAATGGTTGGAGTCATACCTTCAAAAGTCATGTAAGGGCATTCACAGATACCTATGTGGTGTGGATTAGATCTATGGTAGTTTTTAAAGTTAATTTTTAGATTAGCATCCAGAGTCACTATACATATGGCATCTTTATACATATGTGTCATTATACAGTGCCACTGCACATCCATCCTTCCCCCCCAGCCGTTTTCCTTTTCTCCTCATTATGCTCCCCTCTGCCTTATTTGCCTGTACTCTGTTACACTATGCTCACCTCTCAAGATAGCGCCCTCCCTGTCATGATCCCTCTTCCAGTTTCCTGACAGCTACAGCCACCCTTCCCCAATACACATGCACACACAGAACACAGGTTTACATCTGGGATCTGCATATGAGAGAAGACATGCAGTCTTTTCTCCATCTGCTTATTTCACTTAACGGTGATTTCCAGCTGCATCCAGTTCCTGAAAACGTGACTTCACTTCTCTCTATGACTGCATAAAACTAGAAAGGATCTTTTACTTTTCTTTTTCCTTCGCTCTTCTCTTTTCTCATTTTTATTCCTGTTGACAATTTTGTTTCTTCCTTATTTTTTCCCCACTAACATTTTTCTTCATTAGTAACAGTATTACTTTAACTTTTCATTTATTCTACATTTTGTTGCCTTTCTTTAATATTATCAGTGGAAAAGTAGTTTTTAAATTTTAAAAGTAAATTACTGTATCTGATTTTTAATAATTTTTTATATTTACTTGTATGTGCATTGGTGTTTTACCTGCACATACATCTGTGTGAGGGTGTCAGATCTTGGAGTTACAGACAGTTGTGGGCTACCATGTGAGTGCTGGGAATTGAACCAGGGTCCTCTGGAAGAGCAGCCAGTGCTCTTAACCGCTGAGCCATCTCTCCAGCCCCTTGATTTGTTTTGAATGTGGTTGTTGTTGCCACTGCTTCCTCTTTGGACAGTACTGGGCATGGAGTTCTCCAAAGAAGCTAGTCACTGAGACCACCACCAAAAATTCGGCGTTATCCACCCTGACATACGCACAAGTCTCAGCAAAGAAACACAAGAAACATGGTGTGGGGCTAACATGACTCTTCCAGAAATTCATAGCTTTTCAGTAACCGAGAGTTCAAAGATACCAAAGTGGATGAGATGCTGGACAAAGAATATTTTTAAATGATCCATGAATTTAAAAAAAAACAAATGATTATGATTAGTCTAGTGAATTAAGGAGGTCAATACAGTATATGAAAGATGTTATTCTCGGCCTTCTTAATGCTGTGACCCTTTAGTACAGTTCCTCGTGTGATGGTGACCCCAACCATAAAATTATTTCATTGCTGCTTCATAACTGTAATTTTGCTACTGTTATGAATTGTAATGTAATATCTGATATGCAGGATATCTTGTATTCGACCTCGGTGAAGGGTCATTCAATCCTCCAAGGGGTCACAACCCCGAGGTTGAGAACCACTGCATTAGATGAACTGGATCTAACATTACAGAACTTTCCATCCAGCAGCAGCAACATACATGCTGCAGTTTTTTCAGCTCCTGAAACTTTTTCCAAAATAGATTTTTTTACACTCTAAAGCAAGTCTTAACAAATACAAAATAATTTAAATAATCTCTTGCATCTGATCGGATCAGAATGGAATAAAATCAGAAACCAGCAGCAAGAGACGTAACAAAAAATATACAAACACAGACTAGATAATATGCTTTTTCATGAATATTGCAGGCTTTCTCTTATACAGGGAATCCAGAATTGCAAGACACACAGTTGAAAGCAGAAGAGGCAATACTAGGGTACAGCAAGGGGGCTTGGGTGGAGGAGGACGGGCAAGAAAGAGCACTGGAAGAGTTGTGGTCAGTGCATCATACATGCTATATGGAAATACCACAGTGAAACCAGTATGACAATCTGTATTTATAATTACAAATTTAAAGATTAAAAAAAAAGAAGGAGAAAAGCAAGGCAGGTTCACCTGGCAAAAATCCTAAAAAAGCTGAGAACTGTTACTCGTGGAATTCTCTGTTTAATGTTCTCAGACTACAGTTACCCCAGCAAGTGAAGCCACGGCTCAGGTAGACACTGCTGTCCAGCCAGTTGAGTTAGGCTTTTCAGGAAGGTGGCTGGTCAGAGCAATGTCCATTTCCCAAATGTGACCCTCCAAGAAAGAGGCTCAGGGTATTCTGGGGGTGGCAGTGGGGCTCACTATCACAGTAACACAGATGGTCTTGACACAGACTCACAAGCATTCCTCCCAGGAAACCGATCAAAATGAGGTGTAACCTCACAAGTTCAAGACTCATTTCCCACTGAAATTATGTCTATGGTGACTAATAAAAGCCTCCCAGTTAAACAACAAGGAAAGATATAAGGGATGAGTGGGGCAGTGTTAAAGAGCCACAGACTGAAAACAGGTGGGATTTTATCTCTGTGTGTCTTCACCCCAGCTCAGGGGCAGCTGGAGACCAAGGCAAGCCTCAACAGTTGTGGTAGAGACATTAAAAAATCCTGGAGCCGGCCGTTAGTGGTGCACGCCTTTAATCCCAGCACTCGGGAGGCAGAGGCAGGTGGATCTCTGTGAGTTCGAGACCAGCCTGGTCTACAAGAGCTAGTAACAGGACAACCTCCAAAGCCACAGAGAAACCCTGTCTGGAAAAAGCAAATAATAATAAATAATAATAATAATAATAATAATAATAAATAAAAATAAAAAATCCTGGACGTCAGAGCTCCCCATTACTGAGCCTATTGGAAGGGTATCAATACTTTGTTCTCTGCTACATTTCTGCAGGTGGCAGAGAAGAGAGGGCTTTTAGAGAAACTCTGAATAT